GTGGTGGCCGCAGCTCCGGACTCTTCCGTCCCGTTCTGGTCCCTCCCCTCAGAGCCCCGATCTTCCCTGCCACGGGCCCCCAACCCAGACAAAGGGTGGCTCAGACTGAGCCCTTTTCTGCTAGACTCTTCTTCAGCTTCGTGTGCAATACTAGCGGGTCCTGGCGCCCGAAGCCCCCTAGCCGCTGCTGCGCCCCTCCCCAAGACAGTCCCTCCCCGGGGCCACCCCGGCTGCGCGCTGCCGACTCCGCTGCCCCTCTGACTCACAGGCCATTTCCTACCAGCTGATGGGGCCGCCCGCCCCGCCCAGCGCCCCCCCCCACCCCCACCGCGGCAGCCGCGGCCGCCACGCCCCCCTTAGACGACGCCTCTCGACCTGAAACCATGTTCATTGGCCCAGAGGAGGCCAACCTCCCTACGACCTCAAGTGTGAGCCACACCCTCTCCAAGAAGCCCACGCCTATTGGTCCACAAGGGGGCAGGCCTACCAAGGCCGCCCCGCCCACCTCTTTAACCCCTCGTCTGCCTCAATCCAAAGCAACTCTTGTGCCCGGCCATTTAACCCGTTCGAAGGTGTAGGCCTCACACTTCTCAGCCCTCCCCCACACTCCTTGTTCTGAGGCTGATTAATAGGAAGCCTCAGGGCTTTCATAGACAGTTCAAACCCCCCCCCCCAAAGTCAGTCTGCCCTTTTCATGCCTGACCTTATCTATCCCAAATGTCCCCATTCCTATTCATCTCTTTGCATATTCCAAGTCACAGAGTCTGAGGACTGTTGGAGTCAAAGGAGCTTCCTTCATGTGAGGCCAAAAGAAAAAGACCTTTTTGTACCCTATGCTTCTCTGTGCCAAGAAATGGTGTTTTCTTTTTCTTTTAGCTAACTGGTAACCCTTTTGCCTCTGTTACAGGGGGGCCCTCTCGGGCGCCCAGGCCTCTGTTCCCTGTGTCTCTTATTCGATTCTGAGATCAGCCTGCCCCATCCCTTTTGCCAGCACTTTTAACTCATAGGCCCCTGTTCAAGGAGGCAACTGCCCTAGGAAGTGGGTAAGAGGGCTTCTGCATAGAGTGGGGAGAATGAGCCCAACTCTTGTGATGGAACTTATCCTCATGACTCACAACTCCCTTGAAACTTCTCACCCTCCTCTTGAGTCAGTGGAGAAGACTTGTCAGCAAGTCTGATGGTCAGGCTTCTCCCGGGCATCTACAGAAGGAGGAGGCAAACACCAGAGCCCAAAGTAGCAAGGTCCATTTTCATATAGCTCAGGAGCCATTTAATGCTCAAGGCTCTTATTTCTGGATTCTCCATGTTGTGATCCCAAGGCCAACAGGCTGTCATTGGACAGTAAAACTCTCCTCTCTCCTTACTTCCTCTTTGTACTCTAGACTTCAGAGAAACAAGCAACAGTTCTTCTAGGCTTTCTTCTCCTCACCCCAGATGAGGGGGAAACCCTGAAAAAAAATTCAGTTCTGTTGGGCTGACTTCCCTGCTGATTCCCCTACAGGAATTAAGAGAATTAAAGGATTAAGAAAAATTTCAATATCCTGAACAAAATTCAAGAAACAACATAAGAGCCTGTTTGCCTTAGTAAAAGCATAAGAAGAAGAGGTAGACATAAAACACTGTAGGAAGCTAGACATGGTGGCAAAAGCCTGTAATACTGGTACTTGGAGAGTCTGAGGCAGGTAGGTTTCCAGTTCAAGCCAGCCTAGGATACACAGTAAAACCATCTCAGAAAAAACAAAAGTGAAAAAAAAAAAAAAAAGCAAAACCAAAAAACACTGTCTGAAAGTAATAATCCCCCAGTAACTTTGTTTTTACTGTTACCACCAAAGGTCCAGGATTTAGTTACCTATAAATATCAATGTGCAATAGTTCAGGAGGAAAGATCAAAGTTGTTCAAGGTGTCAGTGTATCATAAGAAAGCAGCATTGTACAATCAAGAGGCCTTGTGGGACTGTCCTAAACTCTTACCTTGCTTTCTTACTCTGTGACAATTATCTCTAGTCAGTTCCCCCCTTTTCAGAACAGACACAACTTTTTATGTTTTTTTTTAAGTCGGGGTCTCACTATGTAGTTCAGGTTGGACTTGAACTATGTACTTAGGATGGCCTCCAGTTCACATCAATCTTTTGGCCTCAGCCTCCCCAGTGCTGGGATTGCAGTGTGTGCCACCATGACCAGCACAAACATACTCACATTTTATGTCTTCCTTTATTAGAATTGAAGTTTCAGGAGAATGACTACTTTGGTTTTGTCCAGTCATATTGCCAGAGGCAGTGTCTCAGAGCCTGGCACATAGCAGATACTCAGTAAAACTCAGTAAACTGATGAAGAAAAACAAGGTCCTGTAAAAGCAATCAGACCCTGGTTCTAATTCCTGATGCTTCTCTATGAGACCTGGAGAATCACAGTCTCTTTGACCATAAAGTTCCAAATTTGTAAATTGAGTGTTAAACAGTGATCACCAAAGCCTCTGAAACTCTGGCCTTATAATTCTAATGGCTGTTGTTCATTCGATGCATTTCAGAGGATAGGTTCAAGCATCTGAATGCCCTAATGGCTGAACCAAATCAAAAACAGTATATACTTCAATTTCAGCACAGCAAACTGAAGTCCTTTTGCTTCATCCCACCCACTGACACCAAATGCCCCAGTCCTGAAGAAGCTGGAGTAACAGTGCCCTAGGCCCTCCCATTCTGTCAGACCGTCTGGGAAGCAGTGTTGCCATAGAAATCAGCTCCTCCTCAAAAGACTGCAGCCTGCCCTCCTTTACCCCACCCTACCCCATGGCTTTGTCTGGCCTCAGCAACCACCCCCTCCCCAGCCAGTCTCTTAGCTACTGGGTAGTTGTGTGAGGAGGCTGGCTTGGGGCCCCTTTCAACAGCATTGTCATACTCTTTTAGTCATGGGGTGGAAGGCAGCCCTTTCCCACCCTGTTCGTACAGCAGAGAGGGAAAAAAGAACTCTGGTACTACATCAAGTCCCCTCAGGAAACCAGAGGAGCCCTCAAAAGGACTAGATTCTAGTCTCAGTTCTATCTGTGAGCTTCCCAACGAGGAGTATGAGGCTCCACGCTCTTTGCCACCCTGAGAGAGGCTGGATCCTCACCTCACTTCCCAGGTTCAGCTTACAATAGTGGCCCACCTCACAAAACATGCATCAAAAACCCTCAATATTCCTCACGACTTCCCTTACCCCAGAATTTCTGAGGGACCTGGGATTTCTCACCCAGGAGAGGGACAAGAATGGGGGAAAATCAACTTCTGGCAAGTGGTAAAATGTGGCTCTTAGTCACTCAGGAGTCAGTTGGCAGAGACTTTGTTGGTAATGGTGGGGTGGGATCTGAGCCTTGCCTCTGGTTACTGGGGTCGCTGGTGGTTGAGTACAAAGTCCCCAGCAGAGTTTACATCCTAGACGGGCAAGGACCGGGCCAGGCCCCAGGGTGAGGAAGTGGGAAATGAACACACCCAGAACATAAGGGCAGGGCAAAGTGGGGGAGGGGGATAGAGACCAAGGCAGGATTCTGCGAGGAACAGGAACTAGGGTGGGGGGTTGACAGGAACGTTGTGGGGGAGGGTCCTCAGGGATACGTTTAGGGTAAAAAAAATTTCCTATCAGTCTGGAGATACCACGTAAACTCAGGGGACAGTCACAATAAATCCTGGTGGATAGCAGAGGCTAGCTCCTTCTGAGGACCCAGGCCTGAAGGTGGAGTTCAGAATGGAGTAGCAGGAAGCACTCTAGACTAGCTCCTTCAACCCCACTTATTCCACCGCCCTCACTCTTAGAACACAGATACAGATATATTCCAGGATCCCCTGCAATGCCCTACTGTTACTTTCTCAAAGTCCTGGGATTTTCTCCCTCCTAAACCACAGTCTCCGACCTCTTCCTCTCACACAGTGGCCACAGTCCCATCCTCTCCCACAGTCCTCTGACCCAGTGTAGACCACCAGCCCGTCTGCATCAAACAAATCTCCTTCCTTGCAAAGCATCTCCAAACCCCTCTCCATCACGTATCACCTCCAATTCTCCACATTAGACAACAAACCTGCCCCTAACATTGTGCTTCCCACCTCCACGAGGAGCTCCAGACTATGCCCTACAAGGGCCCTGGAGAAGGCACATTTTAGCCCACAGATCGAGCCCATAACTGCTCCCCAACTCTGTCTCCCCTAGCAGCCTCGTGATTTGCTTCTCCCTAACGGGCTCCCACTTCCTCCTGTTTGCCCAAGCGCACCCTTCTCTGCGTACCTGCCCCCCACCTGTAGTTCCGTGGGTCGCGGTGCACTTGAGGAGGTAAGTGGATAGGGGCACTTACTGAGCAGCTCTAGCTGCAGCCTAGGCCTGCAAACCTCGCCCCTTCGGCCCGAGCCCCGCCCCCGTAACGCCTTGAACCACCACCCTCTGACTCGCCCCAGCTCCCACCTTCCCGAGCTGGTCTCTCTCCCCTTTCTTTAATCGCTCAGGCTCCGCCTCCGAAGCCCAGGTCCCGCCCTTCTGTTATTCTTTGCATTTCCCCAGGATCCTCCGCTTTCCCTAAGCCACGCCCCTTCTGGTCTCTGGGCTCTGCACCAGGGCCCGCCCCTCTCTGTCCAGCCTGGCAATGTTCCTCCCAGCCAGACCCCACCGCGAACCCTCTCCCACCTCTCTCTCCTCCCCCACCCCTTCTCTCTCTCTCTCCCTCTCTCGCCTCACCCCGGCGCTCGCGCTCCAGACCAGGTCTGCTGGCTCTGATTGGTGGCGGCGGCCTGGATGACGAAGGAGACAAAGTGGTGGCTGCAGGTCGCCTGAGGTCCCACCCCAGCCACGTGCGGCTTCTATGATGACAGGTCTCGAAGGGCGGGGCTTTGATGGCTGGCTGCAAACCCAAACTGACCCCGATCCGGGCGGGGGCGGGGAGCGGGAGTCCCGGCCAGAACGCCAGCCTGTAGGATCCGGGGCTCTCTGGAGGCTTTTTTACTGGCGTGAGCTGCCTGCATAAACTTGCTCTTTTGTAGGGACGTTTGAGTTAGCACGTGATTTGCCTTAATGGGGAAGGTATGCGGGATTTGCAAGGTAATGCGAAGAATTTTAGGAGTCTGAAAATAACTAATCTGGACGGTGGGGTTTAAGGTTTCTGAAGCCTGAGCTCTGTGGCAGGTCTGGGTTCTGGAACAGGCAGTGAATTATATTCGTACCTGTTGAAGTGAGTTAGTCAAGACCTGTGACTTTTACAAGTATAAGTATTGGTACGGAGTTAGGAGGGCCTGAAATTGCTGGAGCAAGGTAGTTTCTTTCCCTGTGCAGGTGTCGAGTCATCTATATGACAGTTACATTTGTTCTGCTGTTTTACTAGCTCTTGAGTCCTCGCCAACTTCCCTCAGGAAATACTGAGGGGAGGTCGCTGCTTCCAAAATACCGGTAGATGGCACCACAGGACACTTGCAGAATTTACCGAGTTTGGATTTCTGGCTAGACTGGAGAGAAGATGGGTGGATTGGGCCTGATTAAATTCTAGAAATCTCAGATTTTTTTTTTTTTTTTTTGGCTCTGTTATATTCTTTGTGTAGTTAAACTGATGTACTTAAAGAAAGCAAAAGAGGAAAAAGAAAGAAAGAAAAGAAAAAGGAAAGACAACAGAAAAGAAAGAAGAAAGAGAAAGGAAAGAGGCAGATCTGGGGTGATGGCTCACACTCCTTAATTCCCATACTCTGCTAGACTAGATGATTGAAAGCCCAGGGTTCAGTCTGCACAATTTAGCGATTTAGCGAGAACCTGCCTCACAAATAAAAAATAAGAGGGGAGAAGGCTGAGGCGCAGTTAAGTGTGCCGGCCCTGGGTGCCATCTCCAGTATACAAAAAAAATTTTTTTCTCTGCCTTTAAGGAATTTATTTTGCATAAATCAGACACACATATGTGAGTACTGCATTGTTTCTCTAGTGTGAGAAACCGAAAGTGTAGGGGGCTGGGGATTTAGCTCAGTGGCATAAGCACCTGCCTTAAAAGCAGGTGGTCGTGGGCTAGGGATTTAGCTCAGTGGCATAAGCGCCTGCCTTAAAAGCAGGTGGTCGTGGGCTAGGGATTTAGCTCAGTGGCATAAGCGCCTGCCTTGCAAGCAGGCAGTCGTGAGTTTGATCCCTGGTACCGAAAAAGACAAAAAAAAAAAAAAAAAAAAAAAAGGCAGGTGGTCGTAAGTCGATCCCCGGTGCTGATAAAAAAAAAAGGAAGAAAGAGAAACCGAAAGTGTAAGTAAGGACCAAAATGTATTTTGAAATAGTAGGAAAATGTTCACATGGAGAGGGGAATAAGAGAGGGAGAAGGGAAAGGAAACCAGAGAAAGTAAGAAAAAAAAAAAAAAGAAAAGAAAACATGGAAATGAAGCTTGGTAAATGGCGAGGGTAGGAAGGGGGGAAGGAAGAGTAGGGGAATGGAAGAAAAAAAACAAGTTATATCATGTAAAAGTACAAATTCTTTATGATGAATGTGATCATTATGTATATCTAGAATGTATCAATAAAATCTAATGTAAAAAAATAAAATATTCATGATTTTAAAAAGGAATTTATTTTCAGACAATAATACAAATACCTAGATAGCCCTAGAAAAAATTGGAAAGGTTTTGAATAGTGGAGAAAGCACAGCTTGAAATTATCTTGATTGAGCTACAAACTTTGGGTATTTACTATAATTTGGGTAAATTATTTAACTTTTAAAAAATTAAATTTGAAACCAGACATGGTGGCACATTCCTGTAATTCTAGCACTTGGGAGGTTGAGGCAGGAGAATTTGTTTGCAAGTTCAAGACCAGCCTGGGCTACAGAGTGAGCCCAAGGCCAGCCTGAGCTGTGTAGCAAGACCCTGTCTCAAAAAGACAAATAAATAAATAAATTAAATTAAATTAAATTAAATTTTAGCAGCCCCATGTTGTGCCACTTGGGAGATTCAGCAGCAATATTGTGAGATCCCAGCCTTGGGAATTTAGTGAGACCCTGCCTCAAAGTAAAATTTAACAGGATACAAAAACACATAAAAATCAATAGCATTCTTTTTTTTGTTTGGTCTTTTTCCTTTTTATCGGTACCAGGGATCCGACTGCCTGCTTACAAGGCAGGTGCTTATGCCGCTGAGCTAAATCCCCAGCCCCAATTCTTGTACACCAATAATGAACTCACCTAAAAAAAATTAAGAAAACAATACCATTCACAGTAGCTTCAAGAAAAGTTAAACAAGTAGGAATTAATAAAGGAAATGAAAGACATCTGTTAAAGAAAACTATAGTACTCTGAAAAAGAAGATGGAAGAGGGCTATTTTGGCTTTCCTCTAAATAACCTGCCCTGTGTCCTCCAAGGTGTACTTTTTTTTTTTTTTTTTTTTTTTTTTTTGAGACAAGGTCTTGCTGTGTAGTCCAGGCTGGCCTCAAACTTGCAGTGATCCTCCTACTTCAGCCTCCTGAGTGCTGGGATTACAGGTGTGAGCCACCTTGTTCATCCCTCCAGGGTGTGCTTTTATTTTGCTTTTTCCCTTTTTCACTAGACTGAAGTTCACTCTGCAGAGCCAGTTGCTCCTTCAGCCTTTGCTTCTGTTTTTTCAAATAAACTTTGTCATTGCTTTAAAAAAAAAAAGGATGACATCATAAAATGGAAATATATCCCCGATTCCAGATAAGCAGAACCAGTACTGTCAAAATGGCCGTAATAGCTGGGTGGTACACGCCTATAATCCCAGTTTTGTGATGCCCTAATCTCCTGCTCCAGTTAATGCATTTTCTGCCCTGTTTAAGAAATCTTTGCCTGTTGTCCGGAGTTGTGTCTTAATGGTTGAATGTTTACCTCGTTCACATGAGGCCCTGTGTTCAATCTCTGGCACCACCAAAAAAAGGAGAAAAGCTGTTCGCCTGTGACTGATGTAACAAATCTGTCCGCTTATGCTGCAGCTTCTTTATTTTACTGCTTATAAATTGGCTGGAACAGATTTTGTGTAACCTGTGAGGGCAAGGTGTAGAGTTTATTGAAGAAAAAGAACAGACTGAACTCTGAGACTTGGGGTTCTACCTTACCCCTGTTGAATTCTTGGAGAAGAAGACCCTAGATTCTGTGTATGCATACCATGCAATATTTACTCGAATTTGGATGTTGGGGCGGGCCTTATCTGTGCCAGAGAACTCTGGAAGGTGCCTTGACTGCTGGCCAGGGCCGTGTCCTTTTTGACCTCCTTCCCTCTATAGCCATCATCTACCTCTCTACCTCTACACCTGTACTTCCACCTCTACCCCAGCTGAAGAATTCTTGTATTTTGAGGCATGAAATCAGTCAGGTGGGGTTACTTTTCCTCAGGTAATTGGGCTGCCCATCTATTCAGATTCATAAAGAAGGAAATTGATTTTTGACTTTTTTTTTTTGACCAGAGTCTTGCTATAGTATATAGTGCAGAACTCCCTATGTAGCTCAAGCTGGCCTCAAATTGAACTCCTGGCAATCCTCCTGCCTTGGCTTCCTGATGCTGGGGCTACAGGTGCTGGATTTACCACCACGTCTGAATTTGTTGTAATTTTTGAGCAAAGATCATAACAAGAATCTAGAAGAACTTTATATTTTCCAAAGCAGTGAACATACACCGCTGACTCACACATTCAATACATTGTTACAGGTATATATAGTAGTACCTATCATCCATATGGACAAAATTTTTTTGGGGGGGTGATATTGAGGTAGGGTTTTACTACATAGCCCAGGATGTTCTTGAAGTTGAAACCCTCCTGCTTCAGTCTTCTGAGTGCTGGGATTATAGATGTGTGTCACCATGCCTAGCTGAACTGATGTTTTCAGAGATGAAATACAGAGGGCTGTGGATATAGCTCAGTGGTAGAGCACCTACATAGCTAGTGTGAGGCTCAATCCCTAGTGCTAAAATACAACAAAAAGATGATGTATGTAAAATGTTGCTGTATAGTTTAGCAATGTAGGTTAGCATTAATGGAGAATATTTGTGATGGATTTTGATGATACTTTGTACTCCAGTTAAGCAGAAACACAGTTCCCTAAAGAATTCCATCCTTATTAGTGATTAAAAATTTTTTTTCAAGAGACCATGCCTAGATAACTAATTGCTTTCTAGTCTCCCTAGTGTCATTTTTACACTCCTGTGTGTGTGTGTGTGTGTGTGTGTGTGTGTGTGTGTGTGTAATTTTTGAAGCAGGGTCTTGCTGTGCAGTTCAGGCCAACCTGTAGGCATGAACCACCTGGCCTGACTTGTCTTCCCTATTCTACATTAGGATGACTTGAATAATCTTTTCAAAAGGGCTTTACAGCTCTCTACTGTTCTTCTGGGCAGGCATAGGGGTGCATTTCTGTAATCCCAACACTCTAAGGAAGGTAGATTGCAAGTTTGAGCTTAAGTGGATTGACTTAGCCACACCCCATCTCTAAATAAAAAAGGGCCGGGGATATAGCTCAGTGTGAAGGCTTTGGGTTCACTCCCTAGTACCACACACACACACACACACACACACACAAATATTCAAATATTATTTTGTTTCGAATGTTATCTATTTAAAAATTGTGGACATTTGTTTTCTTTTTTGTTATATAAGTCTCTACATAATTGCTTTAGTTTTGCATTTTATCTCACAAAGCCTAAACATTTACTGTGTGATTCTTTTTCCTTTTGGAGACAGGGTCTCAATTATGTAATGCAGGCTGTCCTTAAACTCACTGTGGAACCCAGGTTGTTCTGGAACTTGCAGCAATCTTCCTGTCTCAGTCTCCTGTGTGCTGTAATTACAGGCTTGTGCCACCATGCCTGGCTATACTGTATGACCTTTACAGAAAATGTTTGCTGATATCTCTTTTGACAGTGTACAGTACTAAAACTGAGAGGATACCCAGTAATGTTTTACATGTTTTCAAATATTGAATAATGTTTTCCAGTAGAGAGACACACGTCCTTCTCTCATAGAGGTTTTATGTTCTGGATGAGGCTGGGGAATCAGGCAATAAATAGAAATATGCAAATAAGTAGGTATTTGAATTAATGCTATATGAAAATAAGACAATATAATAAAGAGGGATGGGGACACAACTGAATTGAGTGGCCTACGGAGGCATTACTAGGGAGGCACATGTGTGTTCAACCTGATGATAAAGATGAATCAGATGAACCAGGTGTGGTGGCACATGCCTGTGACCCCAGCACTTTGAGAGGCTGAGGCAAGTTGAGCCCAGAATGGATAACTTGATGACTTAGTGAGACCCTGCTCAAAATACAAAGTAAAAAGGGCTGCAGCATACAGTTTAGTGTGAAAGCCCCGGCTTCAATCCTTTGTACAGGGAGTGGGAGGATAAAGACCAACGTATCTACACTAAGGTAAGATGTGAACCATCCAGACCAGGTATCGTGTTTGCCTCTTGCATCTATCACGAGGCCAGATAATGCATCTTCTTTGCAAATGGTTCTATCTTTCATGCTTCCTGTCTTTTTTTTTCATTCTCTTGCCTCTGCCTTCCAAAGTGGTGGATTATACACTTTTATTTTTCAGATTTCTTTTTTAGATTTTTGAGTCAGGGTCTTATTTTGTAGTTCAGGCTGGCCTTGAACTCATGGTGATCCTCCCACATCAGTCTCCTGAGTGCTGGAATTTCAGGCATGCACCATGCCTGTATGTATGGCCTCTGTATCTTATTTATGGGTCTGTAGTTGCATGAGATGATCTCTAAAGTCCAGCCCCGCTCTGACATCTGGTGCATAATACTTAGCAAGAAATATTAAAGCTACCCAGGTGTGGTGGCACATACCTGTAATCCCAGCACTTGGGAGGCTGAGGCAGGAGGATTGTTGAGACTTTGAGACTAGCCTGGGCTACCAAGTGAGTTCAAGACCAGAAAGAAAAGAAATATTAAAGCTGCGAAACTCAAATCAGTATTTATTTTACTCTTTTTTTTTTTGGATGGCAGCCTGGGAAAAGTTGGATAAAGTAAGCTTTAGGAATCAGTTATGGATTCTAATTGTGCAAGTTGTTTTGCTTTTGTTTTGTTTTGTGAGACAGAGACAGAGTCTCACTAGATGGCCCAGACTGGCCTTAAACTTGTGATCCTCCTGCCTGAGTATTATATGTGTACAACACCATGTTTGTTTCATTTTGGTTTTGGCACTTGGAATCAAACTCACAACCTCACACTTGCCAGGCAGGTGCTGTGCCACTGAGCTATATCCCTGGCTTTCCTTGCTTTTCTTTTCTTTCCTTTCTTTTTCTTTCTTTCTATCTTTCTTTCTTTCTTTTTTTCTTTTTCTTTTTCTTCTTCTTTGTGAGATGTGATCTCACTTTGTCGCCTAGGCTGACCTTGAGGCCCTGGCTTTCTATCATTGTTTGAATTCTCCTGAATATACACCTGCCATGCTGAGGAGTATACCTGATCTTGATGAAGTGTCTGAATAACAGAGGACATTATTATATTCTTTCATGAACTTTTCCTTTTAACAGGGAATCATATGCTTTGGAGCCAGGATTACTGCCTTCAGATTCTGACCTCTGTTCTCCTTAGCCCACTTTTACTACCTAGGTGTACTGCTCCCCACTGCCCACAGCATAAGAAATAACAAACATGCATTGGGCTTTTCGTATATATGAGGCAGTTTTAAATGCATTTTCTCATTTGAATCTCAAAGCCATCTTATTAAGTAGATACTATTATTATTCTCTGAGAGATTGAGATCATATAATTTGATCAAGGACACAAGTATCAGAACTAGGTCTCAAATCTAGCTGTGGCAGGTAGATTCAGATGCTGCTCAGTATTCTGACTCCTGGTAATATCCATGTACTTGCATATAGGTGTTCCTTTTCCTTGAATATGATTTGCTTCTGTTAAAGGGAATACATTAAAGCTGAGGGGTGTCACCTCTCTGGTTTTGCTAGTAGACTCTATTGCCTTCTCGGCTCACACCATTTCATGAAATAAACTACTATGCTGGAGACACCCACAGGTTAAGGAACTGAGGTGATGAGTCCAACAGCCAAGGAGGAATTGTGTCTTGCCAACAATCACATGAGTGAACTTAGAAGTGGATCCTTCCCTAGTTAAGCTGGCACTTTGAACTGCAGCTTATGACAAATCCTGAACCAGAGGATCCAGTTAAACAATGCCCAGACTCCTGACCCACAGAAACTGAGATAAACAATGTTTTAAGCTCCTAAGTTTCAGGGTAATGTTACATGGCAATAGTAATACACCAGATGAATCTAGTTGGCTCCAAGTTCATGCTCTTCACAGTTTCAGTACAGTAAGTTGTTTTTTCACTGCCCTATCTTGTTTTCAGGTGCGAAGTGACTTCCATTCCTTATTTGATGGCCTCCTCTACAAAAACTTCGGGTTTCTTAAGAGCTCTGCTTATCTCTAAACTCTCACTCAGTCCTAGAATTCGGAAGTTCAACTCTTTTTTTAAAAATCACTCTTATACTTTAGGACAGTTTGGGTAATTAGTTAAGTATTCCACCCCTACCCCAGAATACTCTTTGTCTTCCAGATCAGGCATCTCTCTTGATTAGGCTATCCTACTCAAAATTTTCCTCAGGGTAGCATCATAAATTTAGATTAATACTGGAAAAACCAAAATTTATCTCCTCAAGCATTCTAGCTCTAAGATTTGGAGTGCTGGCCAGGTGTGATGGTGCACAGCTATAATCCCAGTACTTGGAAGGTTGAGGCAGGAAGATCACAAATTCAAGGCCAGCCTGAGCTACATAATGAGTTGAACCCCAGCCTGGACTACATAGCAAGACCCTGTCTCAAAAAACCAAAATTAAAACTAAAAAAACCATTTGGAATGTCATTCTTCCATGGTGCTTATTCCAGTGAGAGGAATGGTGGTATCTAGGTTTGTTTTTGAGGACAACAGTGCTGTTAGATTAGACCCTTTCGGATCTGGTAGGCAGAATTCTAAGGAATTCAAAATCTTGCCAACACTGAAATACAAACTGGGCTGACAAGACCTAAGAAAGCACAAAGGTGCCCCAGCTCAACAGTACATTAGCATCCTGTAGAGAACTATAAAATAGGATACCAGACTGCTGCTGCTTCCAATCAATTTGTCCTGATTTTAGGAGCAATGGTGATATACCTACATACCCTATTATACGTATTTCCTGTTTTCTGATTTAGCTGTTTTCAATTCCTCAGAAGTCTTTTGCTTAAAATGTTTTTCTTTCCTTTTTCTTCAAAATACGCCAAATGGCGGATGATGCTGGTACAGCAGGAGGGCTTGGGGGCCTGGCGTTGAGAATAGAGAGTCCAGGCATGAGGGGCCAAAATGGAGAGTCAGACAGTTCTCTTGGAGACTTCAGGGGCATGATGGCTAGGGGTGAGGACAAGGAGTGAATCCCTGTTCCTGAGCTGAGCTGGCTGGCTGGCCAAGGACATGATCACCTCTCTGGAGGAAATTTCTGTCTTCTCCCTATCCATCAGGGGGTCTTGAGATGACTGACTTTTTCCTGGGTACGTTTCTAACAGTGAAGTTCTAAAAATCATGCCCTTGCAGAAGCAAACTGGTGCTGACCTACAGATGAGGTTCAAGGCATTTGTCACTATTGGGAACTACAATGGTCAAGTTTATCTGGTTGAAAAGTGCTCCTAGGAGATAGCCACTATCACCTGAGGGGTCATCATCCTGGCCAAGCTCTCAGTTGTTCCTGTGAAGAAAGGCTAATGTGGGAACAAGACAAAGCCCACATTGTCCCTTGCAAGGTGACAGGCTGCTGTGGCTCAGTGTTGATGTGGCTGATCCTGCCCCCAGGAGCACAGGCATTGTGCTTGTGCCCTGTGCCCAGGAAGCTGCTGCTGCTGGCAGGGGCTGCACTGCCACTTTGGGCAACTTCACCAAGGCCACCTTGGGTGCCATCTCCAAGACCTACAGTTACCTGATCCCTGACCTCTGGAAAGAGACTATGTTCACCAAGTCTCCTTACCAGGAATTCACTGACCATCTTGTAAAAAAAAAAACAAGCTCCAACAGTATCTCCAACATAGGGTTTTTACACAAGAAAAAGTGAACGAAATCTGTTAAAAAAAAAAAAAGCTGGGGCGATAGCTCAGCGACACAGTGCCTGTCTAGTAAGCACGAAGTCATGAGTTTGATTCCTGGTACCAAAAAAAAAAAAAAAAGTTTCTCTTTCCTATATCCTTGTTTCAGTAGATATTATGATTGCTTATACTTGATATTATGATTGCTTATATTTGAGGCACTAATCCAGATATCGGAATTACAATAAACTCATTCAGGGTTTTCCCCTCCCCAGTTGCTAATTAAAATTTACTTTGAGCCCAGCACTCTGGAGGCTGAGGCAGGAGGCTCACAAGTTTGAGTCTTGCCTAGGCAATTTAGTGAGTCCATGTCTGTTTCAAAATAAAAATTACAAAAGGGAATGTACAGTGGTAGTCCTGGGTTCGATCACCAGCACCTCTAAAAACAAAGCAAACACTCCCCCAATAAAAAACTCAACAGAAAAACAATGTGCTTAGTTAAATTACAGCAGCTACCGATTCTACAGTGAGTAGTAACCTCTCTAAGAAATCCAATGGGAATTCTTCATAAAGAATCTATCTCGGGTAGAAGTCCCACCCACGTGGGAGGAGTAGAAGGCTTCCATTCGTTTCACAGGTGAGAGGAAGCCCCCTCCCTTCCCTGCCTTAAGCCTCATTAGTGGGCGGAGCTGCATTGAGCCTTGCACGTAAGGAAAGAGAACTCCGCCTTCTACGTGCTCGCGAGGGGCGGGGTAGGGGACTAGGCGTGAAGTGATTGGCTAGGAGGCGGGGCGTCGCGAGTTGGCTCCACCCAGGCGCTCTCCAGGATCTCGGGCGGATTGACGGGTGGGATCCCTTGGCGATCTCTACACCCAGCGATGGCGCCTCAAGGCCGCGCCCAGTTCCCCGCTTGCCCTCCGGTACTCAACGCTCTCTTGAGTTTGCTCACACGGTGAGAACTCTGGCGGGTCGGAGGAAGCGGCGGGACGCTGCCTGCGACGAGGACCATGAGAAGCGGCCAGACCCGCGGGGCCGATAGTGGGAGCCGCCGCGGCACCTGCTGAGAGAGAGGAGGGAGCGGCCCGGTGCGGCTCGCGCTCGCGTTGCCTCGCCATGTCGCTGCTCTGCGTGCGCGGTGAGTGCACGGAGCGGGATGGGGAGGCGGGGGCCGCCGACTAGTTAGCAAGGGATTCCAGTTAGCGTCTGGCTCCCACCTCTCCCAAACTTCATTTCCCGCCTGTGCCTTGGGGGACAAATTAAGCCAACAGTTATTTGTAAACATTGGAAGTTTTCTGCACTTATTACTCCCCCCGCCCCAGCCAGCCACCACAGGGACTGTTACCTCTCTATTCTGGTAGCCGTGTGACAGCGTTGTTGGTTGGCAGACCAGCTCCTATAGTGAATGGGTTCTCTAGTGAGAGTGGATGTAGAAGGCGGATGGTGCCTCCCAGTCTTTCATCGTAAAACTGGTCTGCTTAGTAGTAGGTTCTTTTTAATCAGTCTTTGAAGTCTAGTGGTAAGCAGCCACATGCTTTCTTCCTGGATATTTCTTCGTTTGCTCTATTGCTTGTCTTGTACCCCGCTTCTTTTTTAAACCCCAGCCTGTGGTCTAGGCTAAAATTACTCTCATTCCGCTTGGAAGGGTGTGTTGGCGAGTCCCCTCTGGGAGCAGAGCATAGAGGCATGATTTATTTTGTTTTAGCTTTCACCTGGTGAAAGCTAAAACATAAAGGATGTTTATTGCTTTTACTCCAAGGATCCTTATACCATCTAATACGAAATTTTAAAGCCAAGAATTTTGGATTTAAGATGAGGTATGATGCTCTATGTGGGTAGAGACTTTCCTATTGGTTTTTGTAGTATTCTCAGTGCTTGACTTGTTAGAAGCTCTATGCTGGTTTTGAATGAATGCAAGGACAGTGATTTTAGAGAGATTATCTGATCAGAAAAAGCAGGGTTTGGATTACTGGTTGAATTTGATCTTCAGAAATTCAGGTTAGAGACTGTCATATCTGTGTTGAACAAGATGGGATAAGGTGACTTGATTGTGAGAGGGGGTTTATCTTTTACAGCCTTCACTGGAGCCTTTTCCTGGCACCTTTTACCAGACAGTTAAGAGTTCATGTTTCTTTTGGCTGTCCAGATAAGAGGCATTGTTGTTTGTGATCTCTCTGATAACAGTGTTTTTCCCAGTTGCTGGCAAATGGAACTGCTTTGCCCTGTTCTCTTCCTCTGTTTTGTTAAATCGGCATTAACCCAAAATGGGATTTGGTAATTTCCGGGGATTATTAGACACAGTTTTTCTTCTTTCATGGTTGATTTTTCATTAATGAGAATTTTGCTTTGGTTTTAGTAAGACATTTTCTCTCAGCAGATGGGAGTCTATTTATTGTTTTAGATTCTTACTGCTGAGTAGCAGGATTTGGGAGAGGTTGGGTTTTGCAGTGTCTTTTGGACAGTTTCTTGATTCTCTCCTGACACACCATATTATGGAACTAGAAAAACTCTTTAGGCAAGGAGCACTTTTAAATAAAAAAATTCTTATTTAATTTAATTTAATTGAATTGAATTTAAATAACTTCAGAAAAAGACTTCTGTTATTTTCATTTGTTTAATTACTGGTAGCTTTCATTGTCTGGAAATACTACTGTTTGTTTGGCTCATCTCTATTTATTTGTTGTGATCCTGGGGATTGAACCTAGGGATTAAGGCATGCTAAGCACGTGCTCTGCCACTGAGATACATCCTATTTCTCTTTCCCTTTTAATGTTTTGTTAGTCAATTTTCTCTTCTTTTGCATGTAGAGAAATGGAGACCACTAGATCATTGTCTTTTGAATAAAGATCCTTATAATTGTAATTACTGAAACAAGCAGCTACTTTGTATGCAATTGTTCATATTAAAAGATAAAATATTAAAACTTAAAGGATGCTGGGGAAACTTAAAAATAGGTTAAAATAAACCTAAAACACCATTTCTTGCCTTTTTTTTTTCCGCCGTACCAGGGATCAAACTCATGACCTTGTGCTTGCCAGGCAGATGCTTATGCCACTGAGTTAAATCCCCAGCCCTCTTGCCTTATTTTTGACAGTAGAAATGTTGCCAACCAGTTGAGAGCCCTTTTGTCCATTCAGAGAGAGGTCATGATGTGATGAAACACAGCTCTCTGAGCAGCCCTGCTGCCATTCTGGCACCAGTTAGTGCTGGACTCTGTCAGCTGACCCTGCTGGCTGCTGTTCCTCATGTTCTGAATGCAGCCTAGATAGTGATATTGTATGATGATATATTTCAATTGATCTTGGAGTAGAATCAAATAGATCTTTTCAGTAAAGTTCAAGAAACAGTTAACTTGATATGAAAATGAGCAAACTGATATTAATTTAATCATCCCCAAACATTTTTATTTATGAAACCATTTCCTTGATCTCCTACTCTCCAATCATGCCTTGTTGCCTACAGGTTAAAAACTGTGGACACCATTCTGACTCTAACTCTTTTTTTTTTTTGGCCTTATATTGTTGCCTGTGCTCACACAGATACTTTGCTTCTCCACTGACATTGTTCATTCTGGCTTCTGCTTTGTTGTGAAACTCTCTTTCCATAGTTTTTGCTCATCTAAAATGTATTTTTGTTGATGGGCATATTTATGCACACCTGTAGTCTCAGCTACTTGGGCTGAGGCAGGAGAATCACCAAATTGAAAACTAGTCCTGCCTGATATAGTGGCACACACCGGTAGTCCCAGCTCCCATGAGACCAAGGCAGGAAGGATTGCCACTGGTCAAGGCCAACTTGGGCTACATAGTGAGTTCAAGGCCAGCCACAATTGCATAGTGAGACCCTGTCTAAAAAAACCAAACACAGGAGCATTTTATTGAGACCTTGTTTCAGATGAAAAGGGCTCAGAATGTTGTTTATTGGTAGAGGGCTTGCCTAGCAGTCCCTGAGTTCAAGCCTCACTCACAGTATGCATTCTTTTCCAGTTTAAAGTCTTCCTATTTGTTGTTGAATATTTCTTCAGTTCCTCAGTCCACAAGGATCTTTAAACTTTTAGAACCCTTGTGGTCTGAACTGTGCTATTAATTTAACAGTGAATCATATTGCCTGGCGCTGGTCTCCAATTGTTATGCTTAGGATGACCCAAGTCAAGGAGGCACTAGCACCAGTCAGATCAGTTCTGATCTGGAATTGTGGTAAGCTGAGATATTTCCTCCTAAGAGGCACATTGAGACCCAGGATTAGCTTAAGAGAAAATTTATTTTTTGAGGAAAGTAGACTAATAAAGTGTAGAGAAGCCTTTTGAAGAACATGGGAAGAAGTTTAGTTGTGATACAGTTAAGAGGGAAAGGATCATAAATAATCGATGAAAAGAGTTTAGCAAAAACAGTATATGTTGCTGTCTTAGTTACTTTCCTGTTGCTGGAACAAAATATGTTATACCCACAACTTAAAGGAGGAATGGTTTCTTTTGGCTCATGGTTTCAGTTTATGATCAGCTGACTCCAAAGCAGGAACTGGATGTCGGCTGGCATGGCAGAGGAAACGGTGCTCAGCCAGTGGTGGGCAGGAAGCAGAAAGCCAAGGCGGGGCGCCCTGACCTGACTCTTCCCAGCAGGCCTCACCCCCTAACAGTATGTTCAGCTGTGAATTCATCCCTGAATTAACCCACTAATGAGTACAGTGCCCTCATGATCCAGTCACCTTCCACAAGCCCAGCCTCTGAACCCATGAGACTTTGGGGGGCCATTCTAGATCTAAACCATAACAGTCATGTTTTCACTCCAGAGGATAAAAGTCAAACAGGTGGACTGATGGTTTAAAATGATAGGAAGTTGGATTTTAGCTTAACATAAAGGAGAATTTGTTTGTTTGTTTGTGATAGGGTCTCGCTATATAATTCATACCAGTCTTGAACTCACTGCTGATCCTCCTGCCTCAGCCTCTTGAGTGCTGGGGTTACAAGTGTGTGCTACCCTACCTTGCTATAAAAACAAATTTAAATGTTTTTTTTTTAAATTTTATTTTATTTAAAGGAGAAAAACAAAACAGTATAAGGGTACAAGTAATACAGAATTTCAAAAAAAAACCAGTAAGAAATCACTAGTTAATAGATTACATATTGTCATCTTAGAAATAGTTGTTCAAGTTACAGGATTAAAGCATACAAAATAGACATTCAAACAGTGAGACTGCAAACAGTTGTGTTCAATGATCCAACAAAAACTTCATAATATGGTCATCTATCTTAACAATGGGGTTCTTAGCAAGTGTAATATCAGAGTACATATGAGAGGTTTTTGACACTGTAAGCAGAATGATGGTAAGGATTTTCTAAAAGGAATGTCACCCATTGGTTGGGTTGTTAGACTTGTTTCTTCTTGATTTCATTATCTGCCTCCCTCCCTCCTCCCCTCCTTTTCCTTCTCTCCCTCCCTTTCCCTCCCTCCCTCCCTCCCTCTCTCTCCCTCCCTCTTTGTCCCTCTCTCTCCCTCCCTCCTTCCCTCTTTCTCCCTCTCTCCCTCCCTCCCACTCTCTTCCCCTCCCCCTCCTCCTTGCTGGTACTGGCTAGTGAATTCAGAGTGCTGAATTACATCCCCAGCCTATTTTGCTTTTTTTTATTTTGAGACAGGGTCTTGCTAAGTTACGCAGGCTGGCGTCCTGTTTTAGCCTGCAGAGTAGCTGGCATTAGACCATGGGCCAGCTTTGACATGTTTTGGCACAGCTTTACTTACAGTAATGCTATTGCAGTGTAACTATGTATTCCATAAGAAATTGAAATACTCCCTTCCCGTTCCTTGTTCTCATTTCCTAGTGGTAACTATTGTTCACTGTTCCATATATATCCTAGAAATTTTCATTACATATGAACATACAGATTCTGTAATTGAATGTGCACAGCATTCAACTTTTTTCTCCAGTACTGGAGACTGAAATCAGGTCCTCTGCACAGAGTTACATCCCCAACTCTGTTGTTTTTTGATTTTTTGAGACGGGGGTCTCACTATGTAGTTCAGGCTGGCCTTGAACACAGGCTGGTCTCAAACTCACAGGAGTTCTCCTGCCTCTGCCTCCCAAGTGCTGAAATTACAGACATGTACCACCACACCTGACTGTGCCTTTGTCTGAGCCAGCAGC